ACATAATTCTTGGCTTGTGTCGCTTTATTTATGCTCTTTCTTGATAGTGCTCCATTCTTTCACCTTTTGGATTCATATGTATCTATAAGGAGTAAATCCATGCGGTAAGAGTTATTAGGAAAAAGAAACACTAAAATTAAGCTAAAATGCTATAAAACCATGCAAAATAAAGGAAAGACGCTAAAAACTATAGAAACCTGATTTTACTTGAGAAAATGGCTAAATCATACTCAAAGTGTGAAGGAAAATAGTGCACTTCTATTGCTATTAATGAATCGGGTCTCATTAAAACTCATAATTAAATATTTGGATTAGTGCAATATTAGGATGCGTGACATCCTAAAAGTCCTTATGTTGCATCTTTGGCTATGAAATTTTATTTAGGGATAGAATTAAGATGATATCTTAGAGATAATATGCATAATAATATAATTCAATAAAATGTAAACTTATGTAATGCTAAATTAGTTTCGTACTATTTATTATAATTTATCAAATTGAATATATTATATTAAAAATTTAAATAAATAATTTACATATATATAAATAAAATAATATTTATAAAAATAAATAATTCATCACCTAAGTTTTTAGTGGTAATTTATGGAAATGATATGTATTTCAAATGTAAATATGAAAATAGCATTCAAACCATATACAACAACAACAAAACCCTATTCCCATATGCAATGGGGTAAGGGGGAGGTATGGTAGTAGGCTGTCCACCAACGCCAGGTTGAGAGCAGCTTCCGTGGAAGACCTCCGGCCAGTCAAAAAATTAATAATAAAGATAAAATGTAATGCATGCTTAAATAAATAAATAAAATACGTAGTTGAACAATCTTCATATGCAGTCCTCATATGCATGTCTGTAATGGGAAGTAATCCCTACAAATAAACCCCTGCATAAAAATATCTGCATATAGACAGAAACGTAAGACCCGACCAAAAATATAAAGATGAAACATGATGAGCAGTATACACAGAATTCAACGATAGCAGGCTTCGAGAAGGGATAAAGTCAAATGGGTTAGAACCTAAACTAAGGGAACACTACTCCGCTACCTTAGTTCTAGGCCTTCATAAATTCCAATGATAGAAACGTATAAAAAGTACAATTAATGAAATTACTACAAAGGCATTAAAAGAAGACTAAGATGATACACCCAATGGATGTGACTCGTCCTACTCGGCTACCCTGGTCTTAAGTCGCCATAATTTCCTATAAGAGGTCATGTCCTCAGTAAGGACTAAATCCTTCAAATCAGATATCAAGCACTCTTCTCATTTCCGCTTTGGTCGACCTCTCCTTCTGGTACCGTCGACTGTAATCGACTCTACCCTCCTAACCACATCCGATGGTTGTCGTCTTTGGACATGCCCAAACCACCGTAGTCTTCCCTCTCTCAATTTTCCGGATACATGCACTACCCTCAAGGACATCCTAATAGCAGAGTTTGGTGTCATGTCCTACAGAGTCCTACCACATACCCATCGAAGCATTCTCATTTCTGCGGCCTCTATCTTCCTTACGTGATCCTTCTTGATAGCCCAACATTCTGATACATACAGTAACGCTGGTCTTATTGTCATTCTATAAAATTTTCCCTTAAGTTTTGGAGGTACCTTCTTGTCACACAAAACTCCAGTAGCAGCCCTCCACTTTAGTCATCCCACCTTTATACGGTGTGAAACGTCTTCATCTACACCCCCCATCTTTACGTATCATAGACCCTAAATACTTGAAACAATCCTTTGAGGAGAGAACGTGTCATTCTAAACATTCAAACCATATCAATTCTATAAATAACATAATCTTCGGTTACATAGAATAAAGGCACGTGGAACTGGTCGCGCCTTTGTCCCATGTGACAAGGTGTGTCAGATCGTTATTATTTGGTTAACTAGTGAGAAGACACAAAGAGAATATATTAATAATAATTTTATATATATATTTAATTATACCATGTGACTATGAGGTAATATCTTAACGGCGAAACATAACTTAGATTAGAGGAAATCATACCTTCAAAATTTAAAAATTTATAATTTAAGCCCCTAAATTTTTTTTAAAATAATTTGGCCCCAAATTTTTTTAGAAATTTAGATTAAATTTTAAATTTTTAATGTTTTTAATTAAACTCCTCCCATAAATTTTAAAAATTCTCATTCAATCTCTCAAATTTTAAAATTTTTTAGTTAGTCCCTAGTTCTTTGGGGGGGGGGGAATATAAACTAAACACTTCTAAATTTTTAAAAATCTTAATTTAAACCTCTTATTTTTTTAGAGTTTTAAGTTGCTCCTAAACTTTATTACTAAGTTTCACCACTGTAGTATTTGTTTAGAATCTTTCATAATTATTGACAATGCACACACAATCTACAGACGTAACTGTTCAAATCTATCTTTAAAGAAAACAAAACTCTCTTTAACAATTGAAACCACTTGATAAGTTCTAATTATAGAATATTATTAAAATCATACCTTTTTGTGACGTGAAATTTTAAATCTTTTAAATTAATCTCTAAAAGTTATTAAGTCAATTACAGTAAACTTGTTAAAAAATAATTTATTTACCATAAATATATTGTAAATATTTTTTTGACGAGAATTAGAAATAAAAATTAAGAAACAAATAACCCTAAAAGAAAATTAAAACTTACCAACCGAAAAATAATCGAAGTGGCTTTAATGGTTCAAAGGTTAAAATTTTATTTTATTTTCTATTACATTGTAGAACAGGGCCCATTTATTTTGGGCCAAGTCATTAAAAGATCCATAAAACGGAGAACATGTTATATACTTTAATTGACGAGTCCATTAATGAAAACTACAATAACTACAACAACAACAACAAAACCCTATTCCCATATGTAATGGGGTAAGGGGAGGTAGGGTAGTAGGCTGCCTCTAACGCCAGGTTGAGAGCAAATTCCGTGGAAGACCTCCGGCAGTCAGAAAAATTAAAAATAAAGATAAAATGCAATGCATGTATAAATAAATAAATAAATAAATAAATACATAGTTGAACAGTCTTCATATGCGCGTCTGTAATGAGAAGTTGTTTCTGCTAATAAATCTGTGCGTAAAAATCTCTGCATATAGACAGAAACGTAAGGCCCGACTAAATTTAAAAAGAGGACACATGAAGAGAAGGATACATAGAAGTCAACCATATCAAGCTACGATAAGGAATAAAGTCAAATAGGTTAAAACCTAAACTTAGGCAACACTACTCCACTACCCCAGTTAAAAGCCTTCATAAATTCTAATGGCAGAAACATATAAAAAAGTAGCCGTCATGGAAATTACTACAAAGGCATTAAAAGAAGACAGAAGATGATACACCTAATGGATGGGACCCGTACTACTCGGCTACCCTGGTCTTAAGTCTCCATACTTTCCTGTAAGAGGTCATGTCCTCGGTAAGGGCTAAATCCTTCAAATCAGTCTCAAGCAGTCTTCCCACTTCCGCCTTGGTCGTCCTCTCCTTCTGGCACCGTCGACTGTAATCGACTCTACCCTCCTGACCGCATCCGACGGTTGTCGCCTAAGGGCATGCCCAAACCACCTTAGTCTTCCCTCCCTCAATTTTTTGGATACAAACACCACCTCCAAGGACATCCTAATAGCAGAGTTTGGTGTCATGTCCCACAGAATCCTACCACATGCCCGTCGTAGCATTCTCATTTCTACGACCTCCATCCTCCTTACGTGATCCTTCTTGATTGCCCAACATTCTGATCCATACAGCAGTGCTGGTCTTATTGCCATTCTATAAAATTTTTCCTTAAGTTTTAGAGGCACCTTCTTGTCACATAAAACCCTAGTAGCAGCCATCCACTTTAGCCATCGCGCCTTTATACGGTGTATAACGTCATCATCTACACCTCCATTTTTATGTATCATAGACCCTAGGTACTTGAAATAATCCTTTGAGGGAGAACGTGTCATTCTATGCGTACTTCTACATCTTCATCGTTTTGGTTCCCACTGAAGTTTGAACATAAATACTCTGTTTTATTGGCCTGGAATTTATTCTGCTTGGTCTGGATTTTATTGGGCAGATGGTCCAAACCTTCCGTTGGGTGTGTCAAAATTAACGTGGATGGAGCTTATGTTGCCAAGACTTGACAAGCTCCATTGAGAATTGTTGGACGCGGTCACAACGGGTTCGTTCTTGCAGGACACGCGAAGCCGGTAAACAATTGCTACAGCATGGAAATGGTGGAGGCAAAAAGCCTTTGCAGAAGCCATTCAATTGATCAAATCATCTATAACCTTAGGCATTTAAAATGTCACGACCATGTAGGGGGCACCTTAGTACGACCACATGGAATTGTTTTGGGGGAACCAAAGGGTGAAAAATGAGTGAATTTCAAATGGAGACGAGAGAGGGAATAAAGAGGGTCTTTCCCATTTCACCTTCTTGTATGTTCCTTCACTATCACACTCCCCCTAAAGTTGAGTTTGACATGTCAATAGGGGCTTATCTTTTTCTTACGTAAATGTCATAAGTAGAATAAACAGTCCTGGAATTTTATGTCATTGGTTATTGTGAATAAATTTACACGATTTAAAATAATTTTACTTTGCTTATAATTATTATTTCATAAATAAATAACATAAATTAGGGAATGAACCATAAGTTTTAAATGAAAATAAGTAATATATATCTATATGAATCTCTGATATATTTAATTAAGTTAATGTTTTTTTATATTAGAAAGGAATATTGATTGTTTAAAAAAGGATAAATGAAGTGGGCGAGGATTTAGTCAATAGGGCTGCCAAATTTAGTAGGAACAAGCTCACAATAAACTAAATATAAAATACCCGCAATCGGAAACAACGCATGTTTGAACTATCATCAGCGCCATCGTCCAAGGGATCAAGGGCAACCGATTCAATCACCAACCGTCCATTCCCCCTTCCTTGTTTTCGTATAAATTGCTTAGCCTCATTTTCGCTTCAGCTTGACAGGCAGATCGACAGAAACCTCTGAAGCCTGAATAAATCAAAGCCACCCCCAAAATAACAAAGTTTGTAGTTTTCGATTCCCTTTCTTTTTCTTGTTGATTTCTCTCTTTCTCTCTTTGATTTTCCTTCCCTCCAATCGCCATCTCTATTCTCGTCGTTTATACCTTCGGATTTTTTTCTCACTGCTCTCTTTGGTTGACGATCGATGTTCTTTCATTGGACAAGTTTGTGAGTTTCAAATTGACAAGGGATTGATTTTTTCCGTTTCCGGAGGTTGATTTTCCCGGGGAAGTTTGCCTCCTTTTTCCACCTCTTTCTCTCGACTTCCGCTGTGAGTTACATTCTTCCTATTCCCTCGCTCCTCTGTTTCGTAGAATTTTTCTTTTCTGTTAGATTTCCCAAGAACAAAATGCTTTAATTTTTTAATGTTAATCGAAAATTACCAAAAATAATGAATGTTATTAAGATATTTATCTTATTGCCTAGAAGATTTATGTATAAACCAAAGGAACTTTATATCTTTCATTTTTTGTTGTTTTATCGTTTATTTCAGGAACTTTTCTATGTGATTGAATGATCCAGGAGGAATTTATATAACTGGTAGCTGGAGTCAGAAGTGAAAGGAGGGAAAATTTAAGAGGATATGCAGTGTTCAAGAGAGAATCAGAATTTTATTTATTTTTCATTATTTAGCGTAGATTCTTTTTTTAACTTTTAGTATATAATTAAGTTGCTTGAATTTGAATGAATATATTGCCACATGGAGTCAGAAATATTTTCGCCTCCAAGAGATTTGGTAAAATGTTGTAATTGCAGTTGTACTACCTGTGCTTTGATTGGTGCTCCTTCGAATGCCTGGTTTCGGTCTGTGAAGCGAAAATATGATGAGTTTGAGACTGGAAGCAACTTTTATGTTCCAGGGCTTGATCTTTATTCGAATGCCCGAGTCCAAATTGAGAATGAATGTGCTGCTTTGCGGGAGACAGTCAGCAGCCAACAAACAACAATACAGGATTTGTTTTCAGAATTGGAGGAAGAGAGAGGCGCCTCATCTTCAGCCGCAACTGAGGCCATGTCGATGATATTGAAGTTGCAGAGCGAGAAGGCGGAGATTGAAATGGAGGCCAGGCAATTCAAGCGTTTTGCCGAGGAGAAAATGTTGCATGACCAACAGGAGATAGAGGTTTTGGAGGATCTGTTGTATAAGAGAGAGCAGACTATTCAAGCTTTAACCTGTGAAGCACAGGCATACAAGCATAGGATGTTGAGTTATGGGTTTACAGAGGAAGAGGTTGAAGGTGAGAAGGATGGACAGACGTGGCAGCCTAGTGTGGCTGAGGACTTCGAGGACGAAGCTGATCTTCCTGCATATGATTATCCTCCTCTGAAGTGTAATTTGAATGAGAATCCTGGTAATGATGTCGATGATGTTGAAGACGTTGAAAAATATGCATTTAGTGAGACCCCTCGTGCCCGAGAACGCTTGAGGAATCTGGAAGAAAGGATCTCCCAAATGGAGAGGAATCCCAGCGGCAGCCAGCTGGATGGAGAGATTTCTGGAACAAGGAATGTTTATGAGAAGGTGGTAGTCGGCGACTCTCCTAGGCGACCAAGACATTCCAGGAGGCATTCAGCTGATAGTACAAATTCGTTCTTTTCTAGGGAAATGGGATCAGAGTTTATCAGTGATTCCCCAAGGTTTAACTTTGGCTCGCCCAGGTATAATACTAGCTTCAAGAAAATGAAGTTAGTTTCTGAAATGGACGAGATGTCTACCACACAAAGAATGGATGTATCAGAAGTTGGAGATGATATGAATGACAGAGTTTATACAATTGATTCTGTCCATAATGAGGTGCCATATAATGGAACTGCTGAGCACAAACATGGACTTGGAATTTCTGATAACTATGAATCCACTCCAAGTGAGATATTCAATCAACCTGATGTTTGTGATCTTGATATCAAGAAGCTCTACATGAGACTTCAGAACCTTGAGGCTGACAGGGAATCAATGAGACAAGCACTGCTCTCTATGCGAACTGACAAAGCTCAGTTGGTATTATTGAAAGAAATAGCTCAACATTTGTGCAAAGAAATGTCACCAGTAAAACAAGTGGCTGTGAAGCCATCTGTTCTTGGAAGCCTCTTCAAGGTAATCAATGTCTATCTAAAGTGTTGTATTATCATTGAGTTCTATTGTGACATGTTCATGTCTTTATACTTTTCACTCTTCAATTTCATGTTGCTTTATTGCTGACAAGTGCAATATGGTTTAGTTTCACTATTTTGTCCACTTAATTCTGGTATTATTTTAGTTGTTGTATATCAATCATTCGTCACAGAATCAAATTTGGGTTGTAATTTATCTGAAACCCATCTTTTGAATGTTAATCTAATATTGCTGGAAGCACCAACCAGAAACATAATATGCGGTAATTATTCATCAATAGAGCTCCTGTATTTCTCATGATCTTAACACTTTGTTTTTGTTTTGATGTATTTCCAAAGTGCCACTTGAAGTTTATTGTCTTTTGATGGTTTATTTATTTCTTCTTTTTTTTCAGTGGATTTCATCTTCTATTTCTTGGAGGCGGAGAGCTCGCCGAAGCCAGTAAGTAGAATAATTGTCATCTACGTAATTACTGTTGAGTTGACCAATGTTTTAAAACTGACCAACATATATTAATACATTTTACGACAGCAAAATTGAAATTAGTTATTCCAGTGCAATAGAAAGAAATGTTACGACAGCAAAATTGAAATTAGTTATTCCAGTGCAATAGAAAGAAATGTAGTCCTTAACATCCATCATTTAAGGCCATGGCCTCTAACCCTGAAACAATAGAGATACAGATTTACTGAGGGAGTATGTACTTGATATAAGTTAATGCCGGCATTAGAAAATCGCCTTTTATAGGTCTTCTTTAATTATATAGGTACCTATATGGATTGTCACTGAACAACACTGGCTTGCTAATGGTTTTAGACCAAGGGCCTCGACTTAGGCAGTGGAGATGCCTTTCAAGCACACAAGTGTCAAAGAATGTGAAATTCACTCGGATATGTAGATGAAGCCTATAATCATAACTGTGAATGTTGAATGGGTTGGTTGAAGCTATCATGTGTTGGCTTAGCATCCAGTTTTGGACGACAACAGAGTTTGGTATATTGTGCAGTGTTCTTTTATTTGAGTTGTTTTTTTATTTCTTTTAATTTTTCGGGATTGAATACATGGTCGATGAGCAAACCATGGATGGTTGTGAGCATATAGTTTTTTGGGTTTCCGTTTGAGGTATTTTGGGCATAGGCTCTCTTTTATATTTCAGATTCATGTAAAGCAGTTTTATCCTGTTTATAATTCAAGCAATTGGTTATTTCCTATGGATATTCTTTTTTATAGTTCAAGTTCTATTCCTACTCACTTGGGCCCAGACATGGACGGCCAGGCTAGGACAATTGCTCTTAAAAATTTTAAATTATCATATATTTTAAAAATTTGTACTCACATAAAATTGTACGACGATTTCTTTGAACTAATTTTTGGGTTTTTGATATAGGTGGGCACTTTCGTTGCCCCCGGAAGCAGTCAAACTACGAATAGACGGGGAAATTGCCCAAAATCAATGACCCTTGTCATTCAAACTCGTAAGAATCAAATACGGTCAACTTTGAGGCTAAGGTATGTTCAAACCCTTAAAACCCCAAAAGGACGCAGTTCCGAAGGAAAATGGTGTCGTTTTGGCAACTAACCTATATACCCGACCCGAAACTCTCGAAGAATCCACGTGTTTTGAAATTTATGGATAAATTGTAGTTTTGACCCTTTTATTTTTTAATATTTATTCAATTTAGTCCATTTTAACATGATTTAATTGTTGTTTTAGTCCTTTTAGTTTTTGTTTATTTAATTTAATTCTATTTTGTACAAGTAATTGCATATTTAAGCTCTAGATTTCGGGTTTCACTCGAACACGTCTTGTTATAGCTAAGGTTTAATAATTAGGTCCTTGGTTCATTAAATTAGCTAAGAATCGTGCTTAATAAGCTTAGCTTCTTTCAGTTAGGTCCTCCTTAACTTATTAAATTAGTTAATAATTGAGCCTGATAAGTTTAATTTCTTTTGATTAGGTCTTACATTTGGTTAACAAGATTCGCTATAATATCTTGATTGGCTTTAATTTGGTCATTAATTTAAAACTTATTAATCCATTTGGTTTTAGTTTCTTAATTGACTTCAATTCGATCCTAATTCAATATTTTTAATAAGTTTCTAAGTATTGAACATCTTAATATTTTTAATTCAATTTTAAACATGTTTGTTATTCTTACACATTTGTTCATTTTAGTAACATCATCTAGGAGTGAGCATTCGATCGAGTCGAGTAAAAATATTTCGAGTTATTCACGTTGATGAGTCATATTTTCCAATTCGAACTTAACTTAAATTTTTTCAAGTTGAGTTATTTGAGTTTCTATGTTAATTTTACTATAATTGTTTATAGTTTCCCGAAGCAATGATTATGTTGGGCAAGGTTTTTTAAATTGGGGTTTATTTGTCATAAAAACTCAACTTAATGAGAATAAAACTACCACTTCTACTTATATCGTTGAATCTGTTGATATGTGTCATGCTAGATTAGGACACGTTAACATTCATGCTTTAAAGAAATTGACAAAAATGAATGTTCTGCCTAAACTAGACATAACTAGCTTTAACAAATGTGAAATTTGTGTAGAAGCCAAACATGATAAAGCTCACTTTAAGACTGTTTCTAAGAGAAAGGCTGAATTGTTAGAACTTGTTCATACTGATCTAGTAGACTTTAGAAACACTGAAAGTAAAGGAGGAAAACACTACTATATGACCTTTGTAGATGATTACTCGAGATACACAAAGGTTTATCTTCTTAGAACTAAAGACGAGACTGAAAACTTATTCTTTATTTATAAGGCGAAAGTTGAGAATCAGTTAGATAGGAGAATCAAACGACTTAGATCTGATAGAGGTGATGAATACGGATAAAATTTCTTAAAAGAGGTGTGTGATAAGAATGATATAATTCACGAAACTCCAGCCCCTTATTTTCCTCAACAAAACGGTATAGCTGAAAGGAAAAATAGAACTTTAAAAGAGATGATGAACTCATTGTTGATAAGTTCTAGATTATCTGATAATATGTGGGGGATGTCATTCTATCGGCAAATCATATTTTAAATCGAGCACCTCATAAGAAATTAGATTATACCCTATACGAATTGTGAAAAGGATACCTGCCAAATATATAATACCTGAAAGTGTGGGGGTGTCTGGCTAAAATGGGGTTACCAGACTTTAAGAAGTCTACCATCGGACCTAAAATCGTTGATGCAATGTTCATAGGGTATGCTACAAATAGCGCCACATACAAATTCATGCTTCTACAAGACTATTCTATTTATGAGTCGAAAGATGTCATTTTCTTCAAAGATTCTTTTCCTTTAAAGAAACCTAAATTGAATGAAGAACACAAATAGAAAATATTCCATCCACTTCTTCTAGTATATATGCTAGGTCTACTCAATAAATTAAATTTGAACCTAGAAGAAGTAAAATACAAAGAATCAAAACCTCTTTTGGATTAGATTGCATAACTTTTTTTGTTTATGAGATAAATGATTTAGACTCTCTTTATGATTCTATAGCTCAAATATTTCTGTTAGATGAGGATCCTAAGACTTTTGAGGAAGCTATATGATCTATCGATGATATTTTCTGGAAAAGCGCTATCAATGATGAACTTGCCTAGGGAATTAGTTGACTTGCCTAGGGGATTTAGCACTTGGTTCTTCCGGATGAAGTTGAGGCCAGATGGTTTTATTCAACGGTATAACGCAAGGCTAGTCATCAAAGGATTCACTCAAAAGTTAGGTATAAACTTATCCGATACTTACTCTCCCGTAACGAAAATCTCAATGATCCGGGCATTATTTGCTTTAGCCTCCATTCATAAGTTGCAAGTGCATCAAATGGATGTAAAGTCTGCATTCTTGAACGAATACTTAGATGATGAGATCTATATAGAGCAACCTCTTGGTTTTGAGGTGCCTGACATGGAAGGCAAAGTATGCAGACTTAAAAAGTCGCTTTAAGGCCTCAAAAAAGCTCATAATCAGTGGTATGAGAAATTTCAATAAACTATCCTTTATTTTGGATTTGTTGTGAATGGTTTGAATGTATGCGTGTATTCGAGGATGTTTGGTGATGATTGTGTCATCATAAGTTTGTATGCTGATGACATGTTGATTTTTCCGTACTAGTATCGAGTCCATTAACAAAACAAAAGATTTCTTATCTACTAAATTTGAGATATCGATTTGGGAGAAGTTGGCGTAATCTTATGAGTCAAAGTCACTAGAACTGAAAAGAGATTTTCTTTAAATCAAGCATACTATAGTGAAAAAGTGTTAAAGAAATTTGACAGTTTTGATGTTTTCCCTATTCGAACTCCTTATGACCCTAGCATACATCTTTTTAAGAATAAAGGAAGTAGTGTTTTCCAAACTGAATATGCTAAAGTGATCAGGGGCTAATGTTCTTAATGAACTATACTAAACCTGATATTGCCTATGTTGTGAGTAGACTTGGTAGAAATACCCATAATCCGAGTGGTGAGCACTGATTTTCTCTTAGACGCTTACTTAAATACCTTAAAGGTACAATGGACTGGAAATTTGAGTTTGTTGGCTATCTTGTGGTAATGATGAAGTAAGCTCTAAAAGCGGGTATGTTTTTACTTTGGGTGGATCAACAATCTTATGGAAATCTGCAAAGAAAACTTGTATTGCTCATTCCACTATGCAATCATAGTTTATAGCTATTGACTTAGCTAGGCAATATGTAATACCCTAAAAATTTAGACAATGACCAAAATGCAAATTTTGAAAGTTTGATGGTCAAAGTAGAAATTTAGGAAAAAAGTTTAGGGAATTAAGTGATAATTTTCTAAAAAGAATTTTTATTCCATAAATAGATGGTTTACTCTTGAGGGTGGAGTTTTATAGAAATCATATTTTGGATTTGGAATTTTGGTAAAGAAAAATTAGGAAGAGCTAAAGTTCGATAAGGAATCGGTACTTTAGATCGAATTGTAATTTTACAAAAATTTGAAGGATGTTATAAATTTTTTGGAAATATTATTTTAATATTTTGGATCAGAGAAATTTGGTTTGGAATTGTGCAATTTTTCAGATTTAATCGAAACAGTGGAATTTAGTGACTAAAACGAAAGTTTTGGAAATTCAAGGGGAAATTCAGAAATAAAAGTCAAAATAATTCATGTTTGACTTTGTAATATGATAATGATTAGATGGCTTGGTTTTATGGTAATTATGAAGTTTCATTAAGGGTATATTGATATTTTCCCAAGTTAACGATTTAAATATGATTTTAAAAGATGATAAGCATGATATCAATCTAAAATATCATGCCAATGTTCATCTTCTCCAGCATCTTCACGTGAGAAAGCTTCCAAGGTAAGAAAAATATTTATTTTCCATTTTGAGTAATTCCTTTGGAATTGGAGTTATGTCGTGAGATAGGAAAGTGATCTAAGCGAAAAATGCTATCATTTGGTACCAATATTGCTTTCTAATCTTGTTGGATTTCAAAGATCCCAAATCTAAGGGTTTGTGTTCATGATGGTTTGTGTTCATGATAGGATTCATGAAATTGATGACGAATCTTGATGTTGTAGAGGTTGTAGATTCATTTTCAAGTTTGATTTATGGTTATAACATGTTCAATCTTCTTAGAATTAATTCTTCAAAATTCGGCCAAATCATAAGTTGGAGAAAGTTGTGTTTTGATGAGAGTTAATTAAGGATTTGATTGTAGAGATGTTAAATGGTTGATTTCTTATGTTTTATGGGTTTTGAAGAGTTAAGTGATTTGAAAGAATTGGTTATAAGAATTGATGAAGAACCTAAGAATGAAATTAAAGAAAACAGTTTGGATTTTGAATCTGAAAGTAGGTTTGAAAATTCATTAGAAATTATATAAAAATAATTTCGAGGTTATTTTTATATATTGTGTTCATATATCGATCTTGTTTTGTTTAAAACAAACGGGGATCAATTTCAAGGTGTGTACAAAAAGGTATGAATTTTTAACCAAGGAAAGGTCAGAAAAATCGGACATCAGATTCTGCAAAACAGATTCTGTTGATCAACTTTGAAAATTCACCATAAATTGTACATAATTAATTAGGAGTTCTTTATATGGATAGATTCATATTCGAGTCTAGTTTTCAATGGAAGAAACGAAATTGAATTCCAGTGTGTATATAAATACATAATATTGATTATTTAAAGGTAGTACGAACTGTCTGAATATGGAAAATT